TCACGTGATCCTTCAGAAATCATTCTAAAATGCTGATTCTTACTGTTATTGTTAATGTTGAACATTTAGCTGTGCAAAATAAGTTTTGTGGAAACAGATATTTATTTATTTACTTACTTATTTTTAGAATTATTTGATAAATAAAAAGTTCAAAACAAGAGTATTTATTTGAAATAGAAATCTTTTCTAATTTTGCTGTCACATTTAAGATGTCCTTGCTGAATAGAAGCATTAATTTCTAAATAAATAAATAAATAATCTTGCTGAGCCTTTTTGAAGGGTAGAGTAAAAAAAAAAGTCATACAGGTTTGGAATGGCATGGCATGCGGCTGTAAATGACATGATGCTGTAAATACAATACAGTGTTTATTTATGTAGCACAATTAAAAAAAGAAGAAAAAAACAACAACCAAAGTGCTGTACAAAAAAAAAAAAACAAAGACAAATGTGTGTGTATATATATATATACAGTGGGTACGGAAAGTATTCAGACACCCTTAAATTTTTCACTCTTTGTTATATTGCAGCCATTTGCTAAAATCATGTAAGTTAATTTTTTTTTCCTCATTAATGTACACACAGCACCCCATATTGATTGAAAAACACAGAATTGTTGACATCTTTGCAGATTTATTAAAAAAGAAAAACGGAAATATCACATGGTCCTAAGTATTCAGACCCTCTGCTCAGTATTTAGTAGAAGCACCCTTTTGATCTAATACAGCCATGAGTCTTTTTGGGAAAGATACAACAAGTTTTTCACACCTGGATTTGGCGATCCTCTGCCATTCCTCCTTGCAGATCCTCTCCAGTTCTGTCAGGTTGGATGGTAAACGTTGGTGGACAGCCATTTTTAGGTCTCTCCAGAGATGCTCAACTGGGTTTAAGTCAGGGCTCTGGCTGGCCCATTCAAGAACAGTCACAGAGTTGTTGTGAAGCCACTCCTTCGTTATTTTAGCTGTGTGCTTAGGGTCATTGTCTTGTTGGAAGGTAAACCTTAGTTCCAGTCTGAGGTCCTGAGCACTCTGGAGAAGGTTTTCATCCAGGATATCCCTGTACTTGGCCGCATTCATCTTTCCCTCGATTGCAACCAGTCATCCTGTCCCTGCAGCTGAAAAACACCCCCACAGCATGATGCTGCCACCACCATGCTTCACTGTTGGGACTGTATTGGACAGGTGCGGGTCTGAATACTTTCCGTACCCACTGTATATATATATATTCAGATGAAAACCAATGTTAAGAACACAGAATACAATTACCTGTTAAATGGGTGAAATTCATGAAAGTAAAATCTTAAAACAAATAATCAAGAAATATTAAACGCCAGAGAAATTAAATGCTGAGTTTTTTTTTGTGTGTGTGTGCACTGTAAAATGTAAGATCAAAACAGCCATCCAGCTTCACAGTGAAGCAACTTTGCTAAATAATACAGTCAACATTTTTCATTCTGGTAACCTGCAATATTTGAGTACACTAGAGTTAGTCAAGGCATTCAGAAACGTTGAGGAAAACACATATTGCATGCATTGTAAAGAACCCTTGAATGTTAAGTTATTTGTACAGTTTTCTTTAAGTGTGAACACGAGTCCTTCAAAGAGAGTCTCTTAAAACATTCTGCAACTTACTTCAAAAAGAATTCAATGACTTCTCCAAGTTTCTATCGCATACACAAACTCTCTTCAGAGAGCCTATAACCTCACATGCCTTCGAAGGATGACCATTTATAGGCAATCTACCTGCACAGTAGCTCAAATCATCATTGAGAGCTGTTTGATTGAAACCTCTAAATCTGAATAATTGGCACATCATCTGCAGGACCAGCACTTAGTGCTGTAGGAACGTTTTAGTGCATTTGAGCCTTCATTTTAAAAGATGGAAAGGCTCATTTTCTGCCATTTCTAACAGAAGGGCTGCTCCCACGCAGATTTGATGGTGCAGGTATCTGGCATATGCATATGCGCTCACAGCAAATGAATTATTAAGCACATTGCTATTAAACTAATTGCTTCTGTTACGTCTGAGTGTGCAGTTTCACTCAAACTGCCAGACATTTTTATTTCTTTAATTTATTTATTTTTTCTTTTTCATGTCTTTTTGTTAAGTGCCACTATTAGGCGGTTCATAAAAGGGACATGGTGGTGGAAAAAATTCGGGGTAGGAGGAAAAATAGATATTTGCATTCTCTCGCAAGTTCATTAAGCCATGTTAATCATTTTCTTTATAATGGCTTCTATGGGGGGGATTTAGCACTTTCTGTTCATATTCTGGGCTTATCTGCTTTCCTGTATGTGGCATATTTTATTAATAAACTGTATACCGAATTCGACCATTTTATACCATTAATAAAGCGTCTTCTTTCTATGGGGTAGAAAAAGCTTAACGTGCAATTTAGCGTGTTGCGTTCATATTCTGGGCTATTCTGCTTGTCTGTGAATAGTATGCTTTATTAATTAGGTGTGTACTAAATTTGGACCTCCAGTGTCACTGTTTTAGTACATTAAGCCACATTGAACGTTTCAGAATGTCCCAAAACTAAAAAAAAAATATTTATACTTGATTCCAAGTTCAAAATAAAACCGCTCCATTGTGAACGAAAAGTTTCTCTGTGGAGCTCAGGAGTTTTGTGAGAGAACGTAAAAGATTTGAAAAATATTTTTTTCCTCCCATGCCGTATTTTTCCCACCACCATGTCCCATGTATTTGCTTTTGTCTCTTTTTATTACATCTGTAAAAAAAAACACTTTTACATATTCAGATATTAGATATTACATATTATATTACATATTACATATTCATGGAAGTGCAAGTAAAAATGTTAAGGTTATTTATTTTTTTTTTGGTTTTGCTATTTTCATTATATTAGTGTATATGTTTGCATAGAATACTGAAAGAAGAACTTGCAAAGAATGTATTTCTTTAGCATTTTGTATATTTTATATATTAGTAACCGCTGAATCGGGTATTGCAGAGAGCTGTGTAATAAATTGCAATAGATTACTTCTATTGGTCATTATTGTATGTTAGTTACGGTTGGCCGCCATTGGTCTGTCCATCCTCTACCTCTACTTCACTTTCTCTGTTTATTCTAGTGCAATATGTGCCTAAATGTGCTTGTTTTCACAAGAATAAGCCGTGAAATGGGAGCCTTTAAATGGGATGAATAGCGTGATCATGGTAGGAGTACAGATGGGTGCATATTATTTCTAATATCCGTCGCTCTAGCTCATGAAATATGAATGTCTGTCTGTGCGGTTTGTAAAATGACTTTTCTCATTGTTTCGTTTCCCCTCCAGCCAGAGCTGGTTTTGAAATTATCCTTCATATTCAAGTGAAGTACACTTGATTTGATCTGATTTCTCTTGCTTTTCAGATTAGGCCTTTATTTTAATTTGAAGAGTATGCTAGTTAGAGTATGTTTTACATTTCCTAAGTCACTTTTATATTTTTGTTCGGATTGTTTTATGAATCATAAGCTTGTAAACTCTAGGCAACTCCAGAAAGTATCTTGATTTCCATATGCATGAATAAAGCAAGACAGGAGGCAATGGAAATGTTACTGTATGATTTGTTACATTGATGACAGAAATAAACAGGACCAGATACAAATATTAAAGCTTCTTCTGAATATATTAAAGTATATCTAAGGCATGCTGATTATTAGTATATATATTTTTTAAAGTTTTTCTATGTTATCGACGTTTATAGAGCTCATGTCTAAAAGAGATGAATGCATACAAAATTACAGAATAGTTTTACAGTCTTCCAAAAAGTGAAATCAATCGATAAACAAAATAATTAATTAAAAAATGAATTGACAATTCTTTCATCATTTATTCGCTCTCATATAGAAGCTTGTTTGAAGGAAGGAACATAAATAAATAAATGGTCAAAAAGAAATGGCAAGGTATAAATTCACAATTGTGAGAGATAAACTCATAATTCTGAGAGAAAAACAAAGTTTGAATTGCAAAATATGATCCCAGAACTGTGATATATAAAATCTGAATTTGTGGCAAAAATAAGCTTCCATTCTCTGTCATTTTAACATGAATACATGGCAATATTTTCCCCATCTGATATTGATATTTAAATTAATTGATATTTAAATATATTTAAAGTATTTGTGTTATCATACAATATTGTTAATGCCTCAGTGACTTTCACACCATGCATACAGGTGCATCTCAATAAATTAGAATGTCGTGGAAAAGTTCATTTATTTCAGTAATTCAACTCAAATTGTGAAACTCGTGTATTAAATAAATTCAATGCACACAGACTGAAGTAGTTTAAGTCTTTGGTTCTTTTAATTGTGATGATTTTGGCTCACATTTAACAAAAACCCACCAACTCACTATCTCAACAAATTAGAATACTCCATAAGACCAATAAAAAAAAACATTTTTAATGAATTGTTGGCCTTCTGGAAAGTATGTTAATTTACTGTACATGTACTCAATACTTGGTAGGGGCTCATTTTGCTTTAATTACTGCCTCAATTCAGCGTGGCATGGAGCTGTGTGCATTGAATTTATTTAATACACGAGTTTCACAATTTGAGTTGAATTACTGAAATAAATGAACTTTTCCACGACATTCTAATTTATTGAGATGCACCTGTACATGACACAATACAACATTATATTCATTGAAGTCATGCTTTTGATTTAAATGATGACATTCTTGAGATTCACCCCACGATCCCTCTTTCCCAGAGGAGCTGTATCATTCTCGTATCCTCGGCTCCTAGCATCACCTTCTGAGAGCTGAGTAGCTCTGTGATATCTTTCAAGATAGTGAAGGCGTCAGAGACAGAAGCAGCTCGCTCATGTCACTCTTCCCACTTGACTTGACTGTATGGCAAACTCTACTTTGAAAGCCTTTTGTCTGGAGCGAATCCATGTGTGTGCGAAAGCACTGGGTGCCACGTGGACATGCGGTTGATTTGCCAGAGGGATAAATGAACATAATCTGTCACTGTGTTGTGCTCTCTGCAGGGGAATGCAGCTGTCTGGAAGGTTATGCCCCTGACCCCGAGCATAAACATCTCTGCGTCCGCACAGATTGGGGCCGCAATGAAGGGTGAGTGCTGCAAACCACTCTGTCAACGCCTCACAAATAGGCCGAACTAAAAGCCAGGACAGGAGGGAGATGAGGAGGGGCAAGAGAAAGACTGTAACACAGAGAGAGATGCGATTCATCACCTCACCTCATGCCAAGTGTAGTAACTCCTCTTCCTGACTCTTGCGGCGCATGTTAATGAACTCACTCAAGCAAACAGCTGGGCTAATAAAACAACACCAGAACTTTCAGCCCAGACACCGACTCCAGACTGAGACTTACGCAACATAGGACAGTGCTGCGCATATGACTTAGAAATTGTAAAAATTGTAATAACGTAATCTATTAAATTATACATTCTAGGTAATATAATTGCACTACTTTAGATTACTTTTCGATTTATTTTGACCCAACTCGTTTAGTACGTTGATTTGAATAGGATACTCTTGTACCATATGGATATAAAAATACAAAGAGAAAGAAAATGTATTCTATTCATTATTATTAACAATATTACATCATATCCAGGTTTCCCAAACTGGGTTTCATGAAGAAACTACAGGGGGTTTGTGAGGAATGAACTCACTCAAGCAAACAGGCCTTTTTCACATTCGATTTTTTTATGTTTTAATTTTATTTTTAATGTTATTGTTTTTATTATTGCGCCATGTTTATTATGATTAATCACCATCTTATCGACAATATAATGCAGTCCAGTCACTGCGCTCAAACCCGGAGGATATGACACGTTTAAGCACGTTAAGCTGTGCTGAAAAATATAAATGTATTTGAACAACCCCAGTTTGATCTAATATGTGATGATTGTATCGGGAACTAAAGTATGGCAACTGGATAGCAACACTGTGGAATCATAGTGGTTAGATTTGCATCTAACAACTACCCAGTTCTCTTTAGTAACCACCTAGCAACACCTTAGAAATACTGCAGCATCCTAGCATCGTAATGGACTTTTTCGCCACTTCAGATAAGTGCCTCTGACATTCTCTTCAGAAAATGTGAAACCTCAGTTCAAGGTTGTGCAATTCTGAAACTGGAGGGCCAGCTTCCTGCAGAGTTTAGCTGCAACACCTGCAGTTTCGAGTAATCCTGAAGACCCTGATTAGCTGGTTCAGGTGTCTTTATTTATAGTTGTAGCTAAACTCTGCAGGGCATTGGGCCTCCAGGAGCAAGATTGGACACCCCTGATTTAGTTCATTACTGTTAATATTATTGTTTTTCAGTTTGTTTGTTGTTTTTAGCTAAAACCCTTAGCATTTATACTCACAAAGCCTTTTTGTGTGTTCGTCCCACAGTCCGTGGCCTTACTCAAACCTGGAAAGAGGCTACGACCTTGTCACAGGGGAGCAGGCTCCAGAGAAGATTTTCAGGTAAGAACCAGACCCTCCCCACCTGTCTGTCTTCCAAAATAAGGTCCCATGCTGAACACAACAATCCCCGGGGTGTCCCAGTCCAGGCAGGGCCTCCCCGCCTGCTGTCAGTCGCCCTCATACTGAACACAGGACTTCACAGATCGCCTGCGGGGCAGCACTGTGGGTTTCCTGGTAGGATTTGCCCTAGGCATGTTCCACCTGAAAGAGCAGGGAGCTTTACCGGAGCCCTGGGCCTCTTTCTGTTTTAAAGCAGGCTCTAGTGTTTAGTGGCTCCGTATATTTATTTTTCAAGTCCTTGAGAAAATGGTGGCGATAGAAAGGGAACGAGGACAGGTCACAAACCGCAGCACGTCACTTTGGATTTCTCGATGTTTCTGTCCTGCAGGCATGACAGACTGAAAAGCTTCTGCCCTTAAAATATCCGATGGAACTCGTCACATGGATTGCAGCTAGCTTGACTGCAGTCTGAATGATGCATGTTGATATTTCTAACCAAGCTCATTGGAAATATGTGACTCTTCCTACATTTCTGCAAAACTTGAAATACAGGTACATTTCGTGCCACTTTTTAGATGACACTTCCACGAGAGGTGCTATAAGCAAGTACATTTACATAATTACATTTTTGCAAAAAGAGCTATGTGCCTTGCTGTTTCATGGCACTAAATAGTGTGTTCAATTTTCTCTGAAACAATTAAACATGATTGTTGCAACATTTTATTACGTTGGATAATGCACTGCAATTCGGAAATAAAATGTCCGGTGAGTGCTAAAAGGTTAATGCATTTTGCGTTTGAAAATAGTGTGCCACGGACACTAATCCTAAACCGATAGTGTTAATAGCAAATGTGAAGAAAAAAAAAAAAAAAACATTTGTTGAAGAAACCATGCTATTTTAGTTTTCGTCTACAAGTCTTTGATCTCTTTTATCACACCCAAGTGCTTCACACTGCAAGTGCAATGCTGTACCGGGTGCAAATTCACTATGTCAGAAAAACCTGGTTATGTGATGCAAACATCAAAATGTATACATTTCAAAATCATCCATTATGATAAAAGTGTTTTGAACTTATACTGTAGTATAGCATAATAAAGAAGCAAAAGCTGTTGGCGTTTTACTGCCTCTAGTGTTAATTTCAGCTGGAAACTGCAGTGAAATGTTTGTATGTAAAGCAGGCAGAGTCACATATTCCATTTTTTTCTGCTTTAAGTTTTATACACATAAAAGTGAAACATGTCAAGATGAGAAAGAACTTGTGTGTTAATGCAAAATGTAGTTATTTATGGTTGCTGAGCAATTATGATTATCCAAAAGTCATTCATTTTATATATATATATATATATATATATATATATA